TCTTCATTTCCTTATGAATGTTCCTGCATCGTGTAAAACTTAAATAAATGTGTGTGCTTTTTTCCTGTTAACCTGTCTTTGTTTAATTTTCAGACACAGCCAGGGACCCTCAGTGGGTCAAGGAAAATTTTTCCTCCCAAACACAATCCCTCATTGTACCTTACAGGCAGTAGTGTTAAGGTCAGGCAGGAAAGGGGAAGTGTTTATCCAATAAGTAGAGTGTTGGGGGAAAGAGTTTAGCTCAGAATGGGATAAGAAAGGACACTCCAAACCCTTTGCCTTCTCTCAATTTGGTCCAGGGTTGAAATGCATTCGAAATGCATTCAAAATTAAAAGAAGCAGGCGCGTGGCCTGAAACCCACAGACCGAAAATTTAGTCTCAAAATTGAGATACTTGAAACCTCGTGGGTACTTGAAGTGAAAAACAAGACACAAACTATCTTCCTAGAACTTGTAATTTAGTTCATTACTTTTGTATTAAAAACAAACACATGCACATACAAAACATTATATGTTTTGCCTGCTTATTTCCTATGGTAAAATTTAAGCTTCTCATGCCTGTTTTCTTCCCCTGAAGTGAAGTCGCTCAGATATGACTCTTTGCTACCCCGTGGACTGTAGCCTGTTGCCCCAACAGCAAGCAATGGAGGACAAGGCTCCTCCATCCATGGGATTCTCCAGGCAAGAATACTGGAGTGGATTGCCATTTACTCAGTACTAAATAATGAAATTTTAGTGCCCAGTCTTAAAACTGCAGATTCTTGTTATTTCTAATGAAAGAAACTTCAGAAATATTAAAAGAGAAAAAGATTGCCTCTTCCTCACTGCTGCAGCAAAGCACAGATTCTTCTGTTATAAACTTGCTTTTGATAAAGTGGTATATTGAGAACATTGATAGGATTATTACTCTACTGTCCAATGTGGAGACTAGGTGAAATTGAACTAATATGAATCAGAATTCTCTTATTAAAGGTGACTTCTAAGACAATCATGTATCATATTAAAGATGACTTCTAAGGTGACCATATATTACAGATTGTTATATTCAGAGAAATGTTACGTATGACCCATAATAATGTACTATTCTGATTATCTTATTTGATTTGTTGTCTCAGAGTTAACATTTAAGTTGGCATCACTGTTTTCTGAGAAGTAGAAATTCTTATTCAGCTTCTTTGTTAAGCCAGAGGAGGACTCTCAGAATTTTCTCATTCTCTGTTATAAAGATACCAACTAAAAAAAAAGAAAATAAAAAATGCACAACATGAGAGTTGTGAGTTATTTGGGGCAATACGAGGACTGCAGCCTGGGAGACCGCACCTCAGATAGCTCTGAGAAACTTCCAAAGAGGTAGAGGGAAAAAACAATATATACTTGATTTTGGCAAAAAGGGAGCACATGCAATCAAGCACATATTTTTTGTAGAAAGTTTCTGCTGGCATTATGAAACTTCTGCTAGTCACAAGAAACAATTATCACCATGAAGGATTTTAGTGTTTTTCTAGATGTCTTACATCTATATTTTCTTATAAGAATTGGGCTCATGAAATCAGCTCCTGAGAATATCTAACTATCTAAAGACCCATCCTGCCAGTTTTCCAGGGCGCAGAGTGCCTAATTTCTGCTTTCCACCCTGAACTCCTTCAAGGGTTGTTGGAGGTCAGCAGCTACAGCAGCCCATGACTTAATCCTTGTAGAGGCAGACGGCAAGCACCTGTGGCAAGTGCCAAGTTTCGGTTGATAAAGGTAATACAAGTCCCATTACTGTTGGATCATATATAAACAGACAGCTTGAGAATCTTTTTCTCGTTTAAATGAACACATTCCATACAGCTTGGCCAAGAGTGGATGTATCAAAACAAAACAAAACAAAAAAAGTTTTTCAAAGAAATGTGACACTTGGGTAGGCAGCTTTGGGCTATAACCCAGACACCTACCATGGGGTAGTTTCTTCTGATGGTAAAAACTGAGTTGAGTAATTCGATTGTATGTTGGGAAAATTCTTCAGTGCTTTAAGATATATCCCAAGTCTGAAGAAACTGGAAATCCATTGTGATTTCATTCTTGTGCTTTAGAATATTATGTAGGCCTTGTTACTTATCCAAGATGAGCCATAACATCTCTGAGACTCAGTTTATCTGTAAAATGAGTGAAATAACATCTATTTCACAGAGCTGGAATTAAATATATGTAGAAAATTTTAAAGTAGTGAGCGGTGCTCTCTATATGCAAGATATTATTACAAAATAACCACAGGAGATGGTAACAGTTGTTCACATCAGCAACACTTTCTCACTGACATTTTAGATCTTCTCCCTATAGCAGGAGATTGCTGCTGCCTAAGGAGACTTCTAATATGAATCAGAATTCTGTTATTAAAGGTGACTTCTAAGGCAACCATACATCACAGGTTGTTTCTACCTTGTATTTAATGTTCAGGAAAAACTCTCAAAATTACTTTTAACTTCAGGAGAGTGATCATCATACCTTTGAGCTAAGTTTTGAGCCTCTTGGACCTGATTTTATTCTCAAGTTTGAGTTTTTATATGCGATGTTTTTCCAATCAAATAAGCGTATCATTAAAAGTGTTTGTTAGTTATTGCAATTTTAAGCATTGGTAATCTTACATAACTTTTGTTTTATTACATGCAATTTTCTGAGAAATTCTTCAGAGCCCAGGAAATAAAAGGCAAAAGATCTTCAATTTCTGTATAGAGAATAGAAAAGATTTGAAACTGTAAGCATTAGGAAACACTTTATTGAAGAAAATATGCTAGCAGCTCAGTAATCAACGAATAATTTATGTGCTTTGACCCTTTAACCTTAAATGACTGATAAGCAACTTGACTATTTAAAGCTATTCACTATTGTAAGGGAGAAAATATTTAGGGTCTTATCTTCCCTTACTTAAAGCGGTTTGTCCTAGGACCTAATTACAGATTGATGGATTGAGGAGAAAACCTCATTCGGGGTGGGGGGGTGGGGAAGGCAGATGGCTCTAACTCTGAGTTGGTAACCATAAGCACACAATTTTGGTGTAGTTCCGAATCAGGTAACGGTGAAGTTTAATTTCTGGTTCCTTCAACTACATATTGTTTTGTTGAACCTCAGTCGCAGTGTAACTGTCGCTTAATTCAGTGTCAGGAGCTAAATAAATTTGTTAGTTATGGGAGAGGAGTTACAGTAATTATTAAGTGGAAATGCAGGCTGAAACCTAGGGTGTGCTTGTATTTTGAAAGAACCTGCTAAAATATAAATCCCAAGCGTGCAAAAACACTTCATAAATTGTTCTTACGAAAGTTAACAGCAATATAAAGAAAAGGTCTTTAAAAAGAAATCTGTGATAAGATTATAGAAAAGGGCTGGAAAAGGGAGGTCGTAAGTGAAGAGACTAGCATTACAATCTTCTGCCCAAACCGGATTGAATTCTAGCCAATGAAATTACAATTTCGGAAATTGCTAGCTTTTCTGGCCCAATCAAGACGAGGCTATGTCTATAAATGAGACTGGCTAGGAGGGCCGGTGAATAAAACCTGTGAGAAACCATGGCGCGTACGAAGCAGACTGCCCGCAAGTCGACCGGTGGCAAGGCCCCGCGGAAGCAGCTGGCCACCAAGGCCGCTCGCAAGAGCGCGCCGGCCACGGGCGGCGTCAAGAAGCCGCACCGCTACCGGCCGGGCACCGTGGCCCTGCGGGAGATCCGGCGCTACCAGAAGTCGACCGAGCTGCTGATCCGCAAGCTGCCGTTCCAGCGGCTGGTGCGCGAGATCGCGCAGGACTTCAAGACGGACCTGCGCTTCCAGAGCTCGGCCGTGATGGCGCTGCAGGAGGCGAGCGAGGCCTACCTGGTGGGGCTGTTTGAAGACACGAACCTGTGCGCCATCCACGCCAAGCGCGTGACCATCATGCCCAAAGACATCCAGCTGGCTCGCCGCATCCGCGGGGAGCGGGCTTAAGGCGTACATTTTAAAGTAGACGATCTAAAGGCTCTTTTCAGAGCCACCCACGTTTTCATAAAAAGCAGCTGTACCAGCTTTCACTTTAGTCTGCGAGCTTTTAAATCACGAATGTTAAGGGTAAAGCGGGTAGGGGAGTTTAACACGCGTTGAGTGGTGAGGTTATGGAATTAAAGCTGACAGACGCTAGAGGGAGCCCCAGAAGCGAGGTCTAGGTCATTTTTCTTAACTGCGTTTACAAGCTAGTTGGATTTCTTAGCGCAGAGCGCCAACCTACATATTTCTGAGAAAACTGCAAGAAGCTAAATTCTCTGCCAGTTGTAGCGCTTTCCAAGCTGCTAGCACAAAACGTTAGCACAAATCTGAATACTGAAGAAGGCCGCCATTATGTGGTTACTGTAGGAATGGTAATCGGTTTCAGCTCCATTCTACAGTTACTAGAATTGGGCCAGGTGTTAGATAAATCCTCGATCCCCAAGTAGTTCCTCGGTATTTCAACTGTTAAGAATAGGGACAAGAGCCCTGAGATATGTCGGATCCCATCTTCCTAACTGCATGAGACAGAAGGCGCAAACCTTAAAAAAAAAGGGGGGGGGGGTGCGGCTAAGGTATTGTTACGAAAACGAGAACCAAACTTCCAAAATAGTACAGAGGAGTAAAACGATGCAAAAATAAGAGAAAGTTAGCTTGTCTTTAGCACGCGCTTCAGATCGCTACTATATACAAGTCAACGAGAAAAAGTGAAAATCATTTAACAAAAGACCCCAAACAGGTGAAACTACATTTACTTAATTTAGTGTGAAACAGAACATTTTGATTGGTTAACAAGACATTTGTTGTAAGAACCACTAAGAAAACGCCAGCGGAACCTCATTTACATGGACTCTGCCTCTCTATGACGACACTGTTGTATATTAACCAATAAAAATGCAGTACTCTGTTAGCCTTCATTTGCACAAAGGCTCTATAAATAACGCGTAAGAGGCCAGGTCTGAGGTAGTCGGCATCGTTTAATACACGTGTGTGGCGTGTGTTTCTGCAAAAATGCCGGATCCAGCAAAATCCGCTCCTGCTCCTAAGAAAGGTTCTAAGAAAGCTGTCACGAAAGCGCAGAAGAAGGACGGCAAGAAGCGCAAGCGCAGCCGCAAGGAGAGCTATTCCGTTTACGTGTATAAAGTGCTGAAGCAGGTGCACCCGGACACCGGCATCTCGTCCAAGGCCATGGGCATCATGAACTCCTTCGTCAATGATATTTTCGAGCGCATTGCTGGGGAAGCGTCGCGCCTGGCGCATTACAACAAGCGCTCGACTATTACTTCCCGAGAGATCCAGACGGCGGTGCGCCTGCTGCTGCCCGGTGAGCTGGCCAAACACGCCGTGTCCGAGGGCACCAAGGCGGTCACCAAGTACACGAGCTCAAAGTAAGGGCGCTCAAAGGACGAAGTCGAACATCTACGTTATACATAAAGGCTCTTTTCAGAGCCACTTACTTTACCAGAGAAAGTGGCTGTAAACTCTTTAGAATTAATTGCGTTGGGTGGGTCCGTAATTAGATCGCATTTACAGGTAGGGCTAGGTTGGGTCAATGGTGCAAGTTGCCCTAGTGGTTCAAATTCGAAGCGTCCCATGGTCCAGTGGTGCCACCTAGTGGTAAGTGTCATCCTGCTGGTAATAAGTGGTGGTCAAGATGGTCCCTACCTGCCTAGTCTGAGTCCTCTGGAGTTTAGGTACGGGGGGAGAGGGGGCTAACCTAAACTCATTTGTTCTTTTATCTAGTAAACGATCTGGGATTTACTCTCAACGTAGAGATAGAGTGTCTTGAGTTCCCCAATCCTCGCTGTTTACTAATATTTTAGTCTTTTTTTAAACGTACGCCTCCGGGTATCTGTCGCAAGCTTTTGCCAACATAGCCAGGTGCTTTAGTATGTTGGCCTATCAGCAAATCCCAACTTAGCCATCCTCCCCTAACTTCTTAGCCTGGTGACCCTCGACCAGATAAGTTTTCGCACTTCGCCCCCCAACCCCAACCATGGGATGTTTGGCAAATCTGGAGACGTTTGGACTCCAGGGAACTTGGAGGGGTGCTACCTCACTTGGGAGGGTGCTACCGGTGTTCCGAGGGTACATCCTATATAGGGCAGCTTACCGCCCCCACAGCTAAGAGTTTCCTCTTGTGCGTAACGTTGATCCTTGTGATAAGGTTGAGAGACCCAGTGCCCAAAGGCTTCCTTTCCTTCAGGGCTGTATTTTTTTTTCTCCCCTTTTAGGATTTAGTCCTCATCTAGATCAAACATTTTCCCCTGTCCTCTGCTTTTGGTGAAAACTGACCAGCACATAATTTACTGTGATTGCCTACATTCCTCCACAGGAAAATAATCTCCTCCAGGGCAAGAACCTTGTCTTAGTTTTGTAACAAACTTCCCTGGTTACAAGAACCACTTACCAGCCTGCTAAACATACATCCAGGTGCCTGTCCTGAAGTTCCCTGGTAAAGTCAGGTTGGGGGTGGGGACTGGGGAGGTGGATTTTGGTATTCTCACATGCCTTTTTTTTTTTTTTAATGGATTTTGTGGGCATGATGTAAAGGGCACAGTTAACGTGGGATGAATTTCTAAGGCTCTCTCAGAATTTGCGAAACTCAAGACTAATCCTGACAAAGGTTGGATATTTTACCAAATAAAATATACCCTTGAGGCAAAAGGACAAAATCTTAGTTTCCAATTCACTTGACAGTCAAGTTTTTATATTAATCAAACTTGGGGGGATTTACATGACTGTGCTTAAAGTGAATTTTATTAATTTATAATGTAGGAGTTCAAATTTACATCTAATTAAAAGTTGATTAAGGTGGGCTGTATGTGATTTCTCTCTTTCATGTAGAAATAGATTGTCAGTGAGTCATCTTTCCCCAGAGACTATCAGACAAAGAGGCCAGGGAAAGATGAGTCAACTGAGAATCTAAAATTTCCAGTTGAAAGAAAAAAAACATACAATACATTTTATGGTAGGAAAAATCACTATATGTTTAAAGGCCAGGGTGGTCTGTCTTCTACCCATCAGATAGTATATCTGTTCTTCTCCTCAACTAGAATCCTAAAGTTCAGGGGCTCTCTTCTCCCTGAGGACTAGGGACCATGTTTCTTATGGTCTTTTGAAGTTGTTAAAGCATTGGCAGTTGGCTCATCTAATCAAAAGCCATCATTATTTATCCAGTGGCTAAAAGATTAAACCTCAATTCCTTATCCTGAAACTAAAGGCCTTCTATCATCTTGCCAAAAGGTACCTTCTTCAATTGTTTCCCCCAGTCCTCCAGCTTAGGTAAAATGTTCTACTCACTATCCTTTCAGTTCAGTTCAGTTCAGTCGCTCAGTCATGTCCAACTCTGTGATCCCATGAACTGCAGCACGCCAGGCCTCCCTGTCCATCACCAACTCCCAGAGTCCACCCAAACCCATATCCATTGAGTTGGTGATGCCATCCAGCCATCTCATCCTCTGTCAACCTCTTCTCCTCCTGCCCCCAATCCCTCCCAGCATCAGGGTCTTTTCCAATGAGTCAGTTCTTCACATCAGGTGGCCAAAGTAATGGAGTTTCAGCTTCAACATCAGTCCTTCCAATGAATACCCAGGACTGATCTCCTTTAGGATGGACTGGTTGGATCTCCTTGCAGTCCAAGGGACTCTCAAGAGTCTTCTCCAACACCACAGTTCAAAAGCATCAATTCTTCAGCACTTGGCTTTCTTTATAGTCCAGCTCTCACACCCATACATGACCACTGGACAAACCATAGCCTTGACCAGACGGACCTTTGTTGGTGAAGTAATGTCTCTGCTTTTTAATATGCTGTCTAGGTTGGTCATAACTTTCCTTCCAAGGAGTACGCGTCTTTTAATTTCATGGCTGCAATCACCATTTGCAGTGATTTTGGAGCCCAGAAAAATAAAGTCAGTCACTGTTTCCACTGTTTCCCCATCTATTTGCCATGAAGTGATGGGACCGGATGCCATGATCTTGGTTTTCTGAATGTTGAGCTTTAAGCCAACTTTTTCACTCTCCTTTTTCACTTTCATCAAGAGGCTCTTTAGTTCTTCTTCACCTAATGCATCTTAAATTTCTCTTCATTTTTGCTTTTGTGGTATCACTCTTCTAAGTTGTAGTAAGTACTCTGTCATTTTCTAGACTATACAAACCTATCATTATCCCAGTTCTTTAAACTCTTACTTAGATCTCACTCTGTGAAGCCTCTCCATCCTATTTAATTTCATGGGGAGGTTTTCTTCCTTTTGACTCTTAAGGCTCTATTCCTTGCACAATGGATTAACAATTAACTGTGTAGCTTTGTGTACTGTGTAGTATTGTCCTTAAATTTTTTTCATTTGCTTTTACATTTTCTTGTGTTTGTCTTCCGCTAGAGGGTAGGATCTATCATTTTAAAATACTACTTGTCTTCTTCCACAAGGGCTATCCCAGTGCCTGATAGAAAATAGCTCCTCAAATTTTGTTGACTAATTGCCCAGACTGTAGAACACTAGAAAATGATGCAATGATGGTAGATTCAGGTGCTCCCATGAGATTTTTTTTCCCCTCTACTTTTTCCTATTTTTTTTCCTTGCTCCTTTAACCTGGATGCTTTTTTAATTGGTCTTAATAATTACTGACCCAGTTAAAATGACTGTTAGAGATTTAAAAATCCTAAAAGAGGAGATAAGTACTGCATTTGATACCTTCCCTTCAGCTGATGAATGTGTCTTTGTAACCAAAATGATGAGGTTAGAGTAAAGCTTTTTTAGCCTGGCTTGATGTACTGCTTTTCCAGTGTTTCAAACAAGGAGGTGGAAGTTGCATTCCAGAGATGAAAAAAAGTGCTAAATTTCCTTCCATGTACCATCTGAATATTAATATATTTATTTATTTATTATTGAATCAGAGACCATTACCCATAAAAGCTATTCTTCCCTGCTTACTTTCTTTTTTTTGCTTTTTCATTTATTTTTATTAGTTGGAGGCTAATTACTTTACAATATTGTAGTGGTTTTTGTCATACATTGACATGAATTAGCCATGGATTTACATGTATTCCCCATCCCGATCCCGCCCCCCCCCCCACCTCCCTCTCTACCTGATCCCTCTGGGTCTTCCCAGTGCACCAGGCCCGAGCACTTGTCTCATGCATCCAACCTGGGCTGGTGATCTGTTTCACCCTAGATAATATACATGTTTCGATGCTGTTCTCTCGAAACATCCCACCCTCGCCTTCTCCCACAGAGTCCAAAAGTCTGTTCTGTACATCTGTCTCTCTTCTGTTTTGCATATAGGGTTATCATTACCATCTTTCTAAATTCCATATATATGTGTTAGTATACTGTAATGGTCTTTATCTTTCTGGCTTACTTCACTCGGTATAATGGGCTCCAGTTTCATCCATCTCATTAGAACTGATTCAAATGAATTCTTTTTAATGGCTGAGTGACATTCCATGGTGTATGTGTACCACAGCTTCCTTATCCATTCGTCTGCTGATGTCCTGCTTACTTTCACTCCCTGCTTTATGGGTGCATAGCTTCTTAATTAAAGGCTACTTTACCCGCTTTTTTGCATCTGGGTTTGTCCATAAGACAAAGTTCTGAGCCAGTGAGATATGAATAGAAGTGATACATATTATTTCTAGTTTGTGCCGTAAAAATGAGTAAATATGTGCTTCCCTTGCCATTTTACCCTCTCCTCTGGCTGGGTTGCAGATATGATGGCAGGAACTACATCAACCACTCTGGGCCCAGAAATGGAAGCCATGTGATGAGAACGGCAGAACTTCACTACTAGCCCTGGACTATCACATGAGAGATGAAAAAATCTGTATCTTGTTTAAGTAAGCCATTAAAAAAAAATTGGTACAATAATTTAGGCTGCTTTGTGACCAATACGTTGTCTGACTCTTCTGCTGCCTTCTCAGAGTAAGTCCTATGAATGTAGGTATTTTGCTTTATTCACTGTTGTATCCCTATCAGTTCAGTTCAGTCATGCAGTTGTGTCGGACTCTTTACAACCCCATGGACTGCACCACCCCAGGCTTCCCTGTCCATCACCAACTGCTGAAGCTTGCTCAAACTCATGTCCATTGAGTTGGTGATGCCATCCAACCATCTCATCCTCTGTTCTCCCCTTCTCCTCCTGCCCTCAATCTTTCCCAGCATCAAGGTCTTTTCCAATGAGTCAGCTCTTCACATCAGGTGGCCAAAGAATTGGAGTTTCAGCTTCAGCATCAGTTCTTCCAATGAATATTCAGGACTGATTTCCTTTAGGATGGACTGGTTGGATCTCCTTGCAGTCCAAGGGACTCTCAAGAATCTTCTCCAACACCACAGTTCAAAAACACCAATTCTTCAGTGCTCAGCTTTCTTTATAGTCTCTCACATCCACAAGTAACT